GATACACTGATCAGATGAGCCAGTCTCCGGATGAGGATTGACAGGTTTACACATCTAGGAAAAAGACGAAGAATAAATGCCTACTAGAACTCAAGAATTTAATGGATAATACCTTGGTTGTTTCGGGTAATGACAGAAAACTTAACCATTTGTTAGAAAACTCCTAATCTAAAACAAGAGGTAAGAGGTAAGGATACATTAGGTCTCACTCAAGCTCCCATTATCTTTTTTATTTTGCAAATTTTACAGGTGTTTTCATGGGTCTTTTCATGGTAGATCAATTACTTCAGCTTTCCGTTCTTCATTTCTTCCAGTTTTTGGTGCAACAAATATATCTTTCATCTGTTTCGGTTCTGCGTCGTCATCTTTTGGCCAGTCTACACACACATTTGGGGGGTGCCCCAACTGAAACGGCTTGTGAAATTTGCGTAAGAAGAAGACTCCCTATTAGAGATTTGAAGATTTCAACAAGTATATTTTCCATCTGTTTGACATTTATAGCTCTCACAGATTCAACTATTACTTCCAAACGAATTCTAAATTTTGCTCTGTTTGGAGACTTTGGCGTAGAGATTACATGCCTAATTTATAATTATGGTTTTGGGTATACATGCAGTTTTTTGGAAATTTTGGTGTGTTGTATACCGGGTGCTTTGGATTCCTACTTTGGCGCCCTCTCATCCAAGCTTTTTTGTATCAGTCCTTTCTAATATATATGTATATATGTGCCACAAGCCGTGAACTGGTGGTTGGTACAACACATAATAGATATTGACAATAAATTGTCATGGAGTATAAACCCTTTTATTGTACCCTTTGTAAAATATTTGGGCATACCCTTGACAAATGTCACAGACTCCACCTAACTTGAAATCTAAAGCCCAACTGCATAACGATTTGTTTAACCCGATTGCTCTGGACAATTCTACTCCACCTGAGGAGGAAATTATCGCGAGACAGGAGGTTTAATTGCCCATGGGGGTGACTACTTCACCCTTTCTGAGGAGGAATTATCGCGAGACAGGAGTTGGTGTCTGGTTTAATTGCCCATGGGGGTGACTACTTCACCCTTGGAGGAACCTTTGGGGCCTGCTTCTTTTGTCCTTGAAGGGGATTGCTCACTTATTATACCTCCTATGGAACTCTAGGTGAGCTTTCTACTGCAACCCTACCATCTGAACAGATCGAACAAGTTTTTAATGTCAATCAGGCACATAGAGATCCTATTGTGCAATAGCCTATACCTACTCGACATTTTTTGGACTGATACACTGATCAGATGAGCCAGTCTCCGGATGAGGATTGACAGGTTTACACATCTAGGAAAAAGACGAAGAATAAATGCCTACTAGAACTCAAGAATTTAATGGATAATACCTTGGTTGTTTCGGGTAATGACAGAAAACTTAACCATTTGTTAGAAAACTCCTAATCTAAAACAAGAGGTAAGAGGTAAGGATACATTAGGTCTCACTCAAGCTCCCATTATCTTTTTTATTTTGCAAATTTTACAGGTGTTTTCATGGGTCTTTTCATGGTAGATCAATTACTTCAGCTTTCCGTTCTTCATTTCTTCCAGTTTTTGGTGCAACAAATATATCTTTCATCTGTTTCGGTTCTGCGTCGTCATCTTTTGGCCAGTCTACACACACATTTGGGGGGTGCCCCAACTGAAACGGCTTGTGAAATTTGCGTAAGAAGAAGACTCCCTATTAGAGATTTGAAGATTTCAACAAGTATATTTTCCATCTGTTTGACATTTATAGCTCTCACAGATTCAACTATTACTTCCAAACGAATTCTAAATTTTGCTCTGTTTGGAGACTTTGGCGTAGAGATTACATGCCTAATTTATAATTATGGTTTTGGGTATACATGCAGTTTTTTGGAAATTTTGGTGTGTTGTATACCGGGTGCTTTGGATTCCTACTTTGGCGCCCTCTCATCCAACATTTTTTGTATCAGTCCTTTCTAATCTATATGTATATATGTGCCACAAGCCGTGAACTGTTGGTTGGCGGGGTTCACTGCAAGTCTCCCCGATCACGTGTTTGATCCCCAGTGGCGTTGGGTTCTCGAATATTTAGGCACATGATGCGGGCTCTCATCATGGAGAAAATATTGCATCAAGACTCCGCATGTAGAGTTACGTGCAGAGTCCAATGAAATCACGCCACGTGGCGGTGACAGAAAAAATAAATAAATATGTCCGGTAACACAATAAAATATTCCTCCTGTGTTATTTAGGTGTTATTGTGTTATTATAACATCGAGAATATTTCCAGAACAGAATAACACCTTAATAACACGGGGGGAATATTCTCCAATGTTACCGGACGAAATTTTTTTTTCTGTTACCTTCACGTGGCGTGATTTCGTTGGACTTCACATGTAATTTTATGTGCGGAGTCCTGAAGCAATATTTTTTCCTTATCATGGGGCCTAGCATATTGGAAATTTGTATTTGGGCCTCTGCCAAATATCGATTTCCTTTCACCAATATATATATAGATAAATATATAGATACAGATATATCATACCAAATTACTCCTGCATGCCGTGGAGTAACTCAAGCCTGCCAGTCATGCGACCTCACATGCCTGCTATGGTGCTCTTTTTTTTTTTTCTGCAGGCCGTGTCCTGCAACTTTGCTTGTTAGCGTTCTTTTCTTTCTGCAGGTTATACCTTGCAGCTTTCCATTTAGTCATTCTTCCTTTTATTTTAACTGAAGGGTATGCCATACCCTGCAGCTTTTTTTTTAGGCTGTATACTTCCCTGCAGCAGGCCATCCACCGGAGTTTTTTCCTGCAGTCCGAATCTTTTCTCCTGCAGCAGTCTTTCAGAGTTTTTCCCTGGATCAAACCCTCTTTTGGAACTTTTTTTTGCAGCAGGCCTTCTTCTGGAACTGTTTTATGCAACAGGATTTCCTCTGGAGCTTTTTTCTGAAGCAGGCCCTCCGACGCTTTTTCTTCTCACTGGTTCTTCTTCGGAGATTTTCCCTATATCTTGTTTTTGCATGAGATGACCCAATAGATGATGCCCTACTCATAAGATACCATTTTGCACCGTATCCACCATGGGCATAGCAGTAGGTATCACAGGCAGTGAGGAAGAGGGTATAACCTCCGCAGAAATGTGTTGAGAAACAGAAGGTCGGGCTACGACAGACCGAAGATGGGGATGCAACCGATAACATGATGAAGAGCTATGACCAAACATTCCACAGTGTGAGCAGTATTGGGGATGAGGTCCCATCGCAATCTTCTGCCAATAACCCTGATGTGGGGAGCCAATCCAAATCTCCCCTGGAAAGGGTTGAGTGATGTCACGCTTTACAAGCATACAAGCTTCCGATGGCCTGGTTGTTGGAAGCGTGGGAGTATCGACCTTCAGCGGTTTCCCAAAAGCAGTTGCCAATGTATAAAGTGTTTCATAATTGAAGAGATGCACCTCGAGCCCTGGAAAATTAACCCAAATCGGGATAATAGGAGATTCCAATTTAGAATCAAAATCCACTATCCATTTCAGAATTTTTATAAAGCGATTATCGATTTTGAGACCTATTTGAGCAAAGAGTTGGGTATAATCTACGTCATTTGAGAGTTGAATGAGAACGTGACGACCATCTACCGAACCAACTTACCAACTCCCTGTGAGCTTAAGAGAATCGAAATGCTTTCTAATAATCTCAAGCATGGGATTTCCATACGAAAATTTCCCAACAAGAATATATCTCCATGCTGAAGCCAATATACTTGTTTCCTCATCAGTGAGAAACAAAGCCGGTTTGCCATTCTTTTTTCCCAGTATTTTAATAAAGGTATAACCACCTCGAGATTCATGTGCATAATGAAATTCTTGAGGGAAGAAACAGGAACGACCGCCTGCTCCGGGAGTAGAACCCCCGGAGACAGCCGCCGCATAACTTGGGGCCATTCCCCCAAACCGGAACAAAATTAAACCCAAATACAAAAGCCCCACGCGCCAACATTGGAGCTGAAACAAGGAAGAACAGAAACAGGGAGCGTAAATCTCGAAAGCAAACGAAAAAGGCCTTAAACTGTGACCGGGTAAGAAGGCTGCGACTGAAATATCACAGCATAGGTAGCAGACAAGAACACAGTTTGCAATTGGGGACGAAGGCTCGGCCGACACACTCGAATTCAGACGAAGACGAAACAGACGACGACGGAGCGCAGTCTGCGACGCGACCAAGGACGAAAGCTCGGCCAGCAGCGTGCGATTCTGAGTCCGAAGCCTACGGAACAGTAGCACGACGAGGAAGATGGAGTGAAAACCGGAGGCTAACACTGGGTTTCGCCATATATATATATATATATATATATATCTATTAGGGATAGATGAGAGAAAAAGTACTTTAGATGAAAGAGAATATGTATTTGTAGTTAAAGCATTGTAAGTTTACAAGCTTAGGACTTTGATTTTGTAATTTGTCTTCTTGTATTCTACGATCCATTAAATTTCTTTCCGACTTCTTGTTTAAATTATGTAGTCTATAGTTTACCTTGAGAAACTTTTCCATTTACAGTGAACTTTTGTTGATGAAAGACGTTCTAATGATATTGAGAATTTGATGTTTCAAGTATTGATCCATTGGTTGAACTAATGTCAACATCAATTTTTACTCATCCTTTTCTGGCAAAGATACAAATTATGGTAAATTATTTAATAATATGATGTGTATTGCGCCCTATGAATTGAGCAAGATGCCTTGAAACATAGGTTTGAAACACTCTATTTATACGTTAAGACAAAAAACTATAACCTCAAATTTTCACAATTATACAATAATGCTTGGTTGAAGCACACACAATTTAAGCATTTTCGTCTTAGTATTGGAACTTAGTTCACGTGCAAAGATGGCTTTACTTCTCTAACTCAATCTCTTTGTGGTAAATATTACTTTGTAACTCTAAAATGTGCCTGCGAAGTAAAGACCTTGTTATTTATGCTGTGACCGTTCAGATGATTTTTTTCAGGACATACGGGAGCTTTTTTGTTTGCCACCAAAGGGATTTGACATTTCTTTGACACAACAACAGCTGTATGAGGAGCATGACCAACAACATACTATGTATGTGCCCCTTCAACCTTTCAGTCTCTCTTGTCAAGCAGCATACCTGATCTTTGTGCTTTCTTGCTAAATGACTTCGGTTGTGTTACTACTCAACATATATAATCTATATAGACATGCCAGCTCTTAGTTCGTTTGTTATTCATAATGTCATGAATTATGTTTATTTCTATATCATAGGCCCTATTGCCCATTGTTAAGGCAAGCTTTGTGTGCATGCCATTTAGCTTCACACATCTTCAAACACTTGATAAAATAAGCTTGAATGTTTTGTTTTTTATATTTCACATCTAGCATCCATTGTTGTGTTCTTGACGATTCAACAACTCCTTCAAGTACCAAACTGTTATATTTTTAATGTTATAATGTTGAGGTTAATTAATACTTGTGAGTGAAAAATGAATTTCTCGTTGTAATTGTGACACCCCCTTTTAGGGTCAACCGTGGTGCAATAGAGACATACGATTTAGTCAGATCAATTTCTCTTCAACACTCGTCCTGAGTTGCAAAATAAGGTCTTGGTGGGTAAAGATTAAGGGCTTATTTGGTGCGGTGATGTTTTGAAAACGCACATTGCTTGTTTGAGTAAACTACGTTTTGACATCTTATGCGTTTTCAAAACTCTGAAAATAACGTTTTCACATCACACTTATCTAGGGCTATGACAGCTTTCTGGTTGCGGTCTGGCTTTTCCAAAAAAAAATAAAAATTTGTAATAGCCACCGCACCTAGCTTATTAGCAGATTATTTATAATCTGTTTATAAACAAATTATCTTGATAATCTTATAATTTACAGGTTATCAGAATAAACTGGTTTGTTGCTTGGGGGAGTTTATTCAGAACAACTTATTTGCAGCTGTTTTTAGATAAAGGACCATTCTGCCTATATTTAGTGATATTGTTTGCAACAGAACTGTATCGGCAAAGTAAGAGATTAAAAAATGCCGCAAACCACATATCAGTTAAAAAAAGATAGAGCCCTCATTTTCTCGTGAGTATCAAAAACAATTAAACAAAGAGAAATATAATTACAACTACAATTAAAAATATTAAAATGTTTAATTTAAAACCCTAACGAAGTTTGTCCTCAGCTGCACTGTCCTCCTGGCAAACCATCATACCCCGATCATTGTCGGTAATGGAATATGTCGGAATGTCGACCCAACGGAAGAAACCGCATCGCACTGAAGCACTGAAACGCCCTTACGACAACCGTAGAACTGTCTCCCACTGCTGTGAGGCTAACGTGACATGACATGAGTAAGGGAGTCGGTAGTCCGCAGTAACACAACAATAACACAACATAAATCGGGAGATCCCTGAACTCCTTGAGCTCATGTTGCTACAAAGATAAAAAACAGAGGAATCATATGTTAGATCAGTAAATTAAATTAAGTTTTATATAATTGCAAGAGAATTGAATTAAATGAAAACCATATCGAACTAAAAAACATAAAAAAATTGTGAGTGTGCGGTCTCAGACAATTAACTACACCAGTCCACGCATCTGTCACTACAACGATATAACAAACCTTAAAAAAATGAGTTTTTTTTGCCTTTAACCCATGGGGACGATCGTCCTGGGATACATGTGTCTATCACAAAAAAAAAAAAAACTTCTAGTAGATCCTCATATATCGTTGCACTGAAAAAACGAGAGGATCTAGACTGTCTTCTTTAGGATTTCACACGCAATATCAACATGATATGATCGCCATTTGCCAGATGCGCATACCACAAAAAAAAAAAAACCTATCCATGTAAATCATCAAAATTTGATGCACCAAAAGAGAAGAGATGATATCAGTTGCCTTCATTATGAATTCACATTCAACACTAAATAACAACAGTTGATTGACCATTCAAAAGAACTCATAAGGTCATATTTTCCATGATTCATCATTGACCTCACAAAAAAAAAACCCAAAACAAACGAAGAAAAACAAATCTCGAACACGTCACTATTATATATTCAAAAGTTTAAATGAAACAAACAAAAAACTTAACAAAATCTTAAATTCCATATTCACACTACAAAGAACATATGAAAAAACATATAGTCAATCAACAACCATAGATTGCATTAATGATGGATCCCTCAAAGCAGCCATTTTGGCTACACCTTCACGTCTTGAGTGTCAAATTTATTCGACTCTATCTCATCCTCAGGTTAAGAATGCTCAACCAGAAATTCTAAAGGTTTTAAAGAGACATGCATTTGATTGTCGTCAGCCATACTGAAGTTCGTATCTGATCGAGAGGGGGATGTCATCAGATGAAGTTGTGAATTGTCATAGTGGCCACCACAATATGTACCTGTTTGGGAAATAGATACAACGACATCTCCTGTATGATGACCCATTTCTTCTTTGAAACCCCAAATGTTCTTTCAATAACACCGCGTAGAGAAGAGTGATGTTTGTTGAACATTTCTTTTCAACCATGGACAGTGTCACTTGATCTCTTAAAATCAGGAATATGATATCTTGTGTCTGGATAGGACTTCAAGTAACCCCTTTGCATTGGATATCTAGCATCAACCAAATATCTTGTGTCTGGATAGGGCTTCAAGTAGCCCCTTAGCATTAAATATCTAACATCAACCATATTACCAAATAATATTTTTCTGTTATGAAAGATACTATGAGTGACAAAACATATATATAACTAATAGGTTTACATAAATAAACATACCGGGAGGCGGATGGGGGAAACACTGCATTCTATTTCTAGTTGTATAGGAAAAAAAACGACTGTCATTAGCACTCCCTTCCCATCCCCCTATCACAAATGTGAAGCATATGTTGAAGTCACATACGACCATGACATTTTAGGTAGTTGATCCACTCCGACCAATGTACGCGACCTTTTTGTGGCTGGGTAGTCGGACATCAACGTGCATACCATCGATTGCCCTAATGCAGTTTTGCTTACCATCGTTAGAAAGTAATTATATTCTAAAGTGAAAGTAACACAGTAATGAAACTTACCTTGAAATATGACATGTAACGGAGATCATTGACAACTGTTATGGAGTAGTGGCGAACTATGAATCCTTTGGTTTAATGATGTGCGATGCTAAGCTAACCAGTGCTTGCAGACCTCTGGAGAAGTATCAGCTGATTATTTCTAAGGAATATTGAAGTTGCTTCATAACTCCTCTAATTGATTCGTTCTGAGTTGTGGTTCTAGGAGACCCTTGGAGGCCGTGGTTACGACAACTCGTGAAGGAGATCCAAAAAAATGGGTACAATCATGCGAAAAATATTGTTGAACTATATCGAATGTTCAACAGACATCTCACCCACCCATTTATCCTTAACAAATGAGGACTTCATGCGTGGTATTTGAGCAGTGGTGGAGTGGTAGTACTCCTATAACAAAATCAGAATCGCCGCAACCCATGTCATTCTTCTACTGCTGTCGATCCATACTGAAGAAATAAGTTGTTATGATATAATAAAGTGTGGAAAAATATTAGCACCCTATATGAAATGAGAAAAATATCAAAGCCTTCATAACACACAACTTAATTACATGAACATATACAATAAAGTCATTTATCAACCAAAACAAGTAAATATTCGACGCCCAATTCGGGTTGCAGGGCTATGAATATTTGCCTCCGGTTTGGGTCCTCGAGCTTCCTAGCACATTTTGCATGAAAACACCTATCGACCACTACTTTTAGAAGAGCATCCAAAGCTGCAATACAGTCTAGGATTGTGTCGTTTGGTGGAGCTACAGATGGCAGAACTGCAAAAGCATCAATTAGTTTCTCTATTGAGTTTTTCACGAAAATGTCCTTATCTTTCTTTCTTTTCCCAAGCTTGGGCCTTTTGGACTGGGAACTAGACTCCTCAATCTCCTTTTGGTTAGTGCTAGGCACTTCATCGTCAGCTGTATCCTACTCAGGTGGCAAGTCATCTGGTATGTCTGTAAGCCTTAACTCACTTGGGTTGAATGCGTGTTTTCCCGTCACGACAACTTCCTTAAACATTATGTCCAAGTTATCTTAGAACTTCTACTCAATTCTGTAATGCTTATATTTTTTGGCTGCTAGTATTGCCTGCAGGGGGGGGGGGGGGGGGGGGGGGTTGTGGGTAAATCAAAACTAAAAATAAGTCAAAGTAGAGTATAATTATTACATCTAATTTTTCTACCCATCATTCTTTTGGAGCATCAATGGTTCGCTAAATGAGATCCCAACCCAACCCGGTGGATCCCCGTTTAAGCTCATTCCATATCTTCCACTCTTTCTTTAATTGATCTCATTTGTTCTTAAGTTTCAGCCTGTCATAATCCCTTTCTGTCAATTCTTTGAACCTCTTTGCTATATTTTACCAACCTTGTTGAAATATGTCATTGATCTATTTCTGAGCTCAATTTCTTTAATACACAGATTGGTTGAAATATGTCATTGATCTATTTTTGAGCTCAATTTCTTTAATACACAGATTGCAGAATATGTTCGTTAATTCCTTATCCGACATTGCCGACGTACTTGTTTCATTCATCTTAGACATGTTCTAACTAAATGAAGATATTATAGTAAAACAAATAAAACTATTATATATCAACAAGATCTTATTATGTCACTATACAAATAGGACGAAAAAATTAGAAGTACATGCAAAAAAATCTGACAATAATGTTTAAAAAAAACACACCTAACATATAAAAAAACCAATTGAATAGGAACTATAGTTTGCTCAAAGGTTGCATTGGCAATATCATAAAATTCCTAGTATAAAAAAATCATTCCACCTAAAGGAACTTCAGCCTAGAAAGAATATTCTTACGTTATGAAAATAAATCTAGCAAAACACCATGTGATAGAACAAGAGAGAAGCTAGGATCTCATAATGAGTAAACCGAAAAGGTGAGTGTTGTATATTGTTCATATAGAAATTCTTATTGTTCTGACTGCTAACAAGTTTATAGAAGAATTACCAATAGTCATTGCCCCATATGCAAATGTTTGATTGAGAAGCTCAAG